TCAGTCTTTTCTACATTTTTTGGTTTTTTTCTACATTTTTTTTTGTTTGTTTGTTTGTTTTTTGTTTTGTTTTGTTTTTTTTTTTTGTTTTTGTTTTTTTTTTTTTTTTTTTTTTTTGTTTTGTTTTTGTTTTTTTGTTGTTTTTTGTTAGTTTTTTTTGTTTGGTTTTTTTTTTTTTTGTCTAGTCTCCTGAATCCTTATTTTCCTATTATTAGGCTTTGCACTGTCTAATCCCCAGGTTAGTTTACCGTTATTTATCAGATACTGAAAAGTTTAAGCCAATCTATATAACAGATGACAACAACAGGATTGCACAGAAATACTCATTATTTAAGGGATGAATTGGCAGAAGACACATCCTGCAACTATGCAGATTGCAGACAGATGTCTACCTGTGTTTTTTGGCTGTGATTTGGAAATGTACAGAATTCTTTGAAAGCAAATGTGATGTGCTCTTGGCAATTTTAATTTCATTATGGATTGGTCCATAATTTTGCTTTTAGGGATGATGGCTTACTGTTGTCTTGTAACTGTTTGCCTGGTGATGTTTGCTGGCAATTTTGCTTGTGTTCTTAAATTTTATACATGGCAGTAGAACTGCACACTTGCTGTGCAGACAAAGGTTTAGAACAAGCTATTTATTGATGCCACATTCCAATAATAAGTCTTAAAATTTGGAGTTTAAGGAAAATATCTTAAAAGTAGTGACTCACACTATTTTAAATATTGTTTGCTCGGGTACTTTTACTGTTGCTTTGTGTGTGCATTTTAAAATTATTTTATCCTTTGTATGATTGAACATGCTTATGCTATCTGGTATTGCTACTTGCGTTGCACAAAGAACCTGCAGGAAAGCTCTTCATTCCTGTGATTGAATGACTGCTAAAATAGAGCACCAGGGTTAAATGAGAGGTATATATGCATATCTTCTGGAGTTGCACATTTGTTTATGGGACTGCAAGGGCTGACATAGTTGATAGCACATGTAAGCCTTGAGGCACCTGGAGATTTTACTTTGGACAACAGAACACTCAGCGTGGCTTTGTGTGTGACAATCCCAAGGGTGCAGGAGTACAACAAAAGGAGAAAGGAGGCAGTGTGGGATATGTGCACAGCTAGCACTCATCATTACTGGTAGGTAACTCATGCTCTGTTTCCCTCCTAGCAGTATCTGCATGTAGCATATATCCATATTTTCAGCACAGTGTACTCAATAACAACCATTAGTTTCCTCCCTGGCAGACTCAGATTCTTGAGGGGTTGCAAGAGGAGCAACACTTTATGTTGCAACCCATCAAGAGTTGTTAATATATGTAACATCTGTTGAATTGGGAAGACAGAGCTTCAGGATGATGCTCTGTAGATGTCTAAGATAAATAATTTTCTTGCTGAAATTGTCAGCACAGATGCTGCTCTGACAGAGTATGATCTAACACTTTACCTGGAATTGCTATAACAATCTTCAAACAGACGTGCAGTCTGCAATAACTAGGTAGGAAAAGTCAAGTGAATATCTTAAAATACTTCACTTTTTGTAGTTAACAGGGCACTTGTTACATCCCAAGTGTAAAGAGATGACTGACTCAAATAACGTAGTTTGACAGAGGAATACAGAAAGATGAATTCTCTGGTTCAGGTGGAGCTCCATAACCATCATTGACAGAAATTGGAGGATTCCATTAAGTGCTCTGTATCCAGAGCACAGAAGAGGGATCAATTTGATTTTTCCATCTCTCTTGTCATTGAAGTGATGGCCAGAAGTCATTAAGGGCATAAAATTTTTGTCAAGGATAGGGACTTCTGTGAGCTGATGGTTGCAGACACAGGTCCCAATGTGAAGCAGGAGAACTGCCTTAGATGTACACTTACTTCAAGAACTTTCAAGAATTCAGTGAGGTGGGCAAAGACACTGAATATAGACTGCTGCAAGTTCAACTTCTTTTGGACTTTCAGGACTGGCCACTGCTCCACAGCCAGAAGATGGTTTAAAACATCATGCAGCAATTCCTGAAATGTACTCAAGATACTTCACAGGTCTAGGAGGAAAGTCTCATTTTCTTTGTCAATTAGAATTGCCTCAATGAGATCTTACCACTGTGCAAGAATGAGTGAAAAGCAACACTTCCTATTCTTAACAGCTATCCAGCATGCAGGCTAAGAGAGGAAACAACTTGAAATACAGATACCAAACCATTCCTTTTTTGGTGGCTCCAAATGCTGGAAGTCCATTAGTTCTACAGTTACTCTTTTCAGGATATTGGGAAAGCAGGACTCTTTTGGCAAGTAGTGATTAAAAATGTTAATTTGTCTGAGTCTTGCTTGATTTTGCCAAGTAATCTGCCAATTAGAAAGACTGACAGGAAAGAATAAAAGGAAACAGCTATCCCTGGAACATGGAAATCATTGCCTTACTGGCCCGTGCTTGAAGATGTCCGTTCAGGGCAACTCTATTCTGAGCAGACGCCTTCAACTGTTTTTGATTTCCTGTCTGTGTTTGGAGGAGGAGTAAATGATGAAATCTTTCAAGCAGATACTCTGCAGACTAAGCACAACACAAAAAAAGATTTTATGCAAATATGGTAATTTAATTTCTTCCTGGCACAGAGAGTAATGTCACATTCTCACACTATTGACATGAAGCCATATAAGATTGCCAACAATCATGATGACCTTTCTGGTTCAGATATTTGTCCACTGGAAACTGGTTTAAGGGTCTGACTTAACTGTAAATAGTCCATCCAAAAACTATCAGATGACAAAAACTTTTTGTCATGACTTGTATGGTGTCAAGACCTAACCTACATCCTATAAGTTACCCATTTCCTACAAGGAATTATAACAGAATAGCAACCTCCTATTCTGCACTGAAATATTTACCTACTTTCTAGTGTTTCAGCAAGCACAATTTCCCTGAACTGACAGAATTTTTAGAGTAAAAAGAGAGGTAAGGGTTCTGTGGTTTGGGGAAGTCAAAGGGAAATTCACTGCCTGCTTCAAAAGCAAATATCCACGTGACCATGTCTAAATTGATGGGTTTCTGCAGCTCACTGCCTTCAATAAGAAAATTTTTAAAAAAGGAGAAGGACACATTGATTTGTATGTGTGAATTCTCCAGCTAATCTTCCCACTTGACTTATAAGAAACCGAGTGATGCATTTGGGGTTTGTTATTTTAATCCCCACTGTTTAAAAGCCCCCCTCTGAGGATAAATGAGACCACCACAGCTGTGTGACACTGTAATTGAACCAAAAGTCCTTTGGACCACGAGCAAACATGGTATATAATCCATAGCCCCTCCTCCCCAAGCCCTATCCACTCCAGATGTCTTATGGCACAAGGACCACCAGCAGACTGCTCCTGACAATTAGGATGCTCCTGTACTAACCCACCTAACTCACTCAGGTGCCCAGATGCCAAGGTGCTCTAAGGAAAGAGCAGCATGCCCATTTCTGAGGTCAGTCCTGTATCCTTGCAGTACAAAATGTGGTTAAGCGTTATTTTCAAAAAGATTTCAGGTCTGCTTTCATTGGAGCATAAATCTAGGTCTTAAGTGATTATGCAAATGAAGTAATTATGTAAATCTGTAGGACTTATGACAACTGGAATTAAGACTGAGGATGTAAATGTGGACCTTGCTATCTTGCATTTGGTGAGGGAGTTTTTATTTTTCTGAACATTGTAATATGAAAACCTTAATTCTAACACAAATCTTTACTAACAAATCAGGTTGATGGGCAGAATGATAAAGGTTAAGCATAATTTGTTATTTACACTTTTCAAAACCATACACAGATCCCCATGTTCTGAGTGCTAAACTCTTGTGACCTATACATATGTTGTTTATTTTATTAGACTACATGTGAATGAAGTGAACAGCTGTGACCTCCCCTTGTACTTCGAAAGGTCTCTGATAAAAAACAAACAAATCCTCTTTAAGAAAAAAAATTAATTTGGAGCCATTCATTCTGCTTATATAAGGACTTCTGAATGTAATAAAAATATGGAATAATTTCATAATTAATAGTGAAGAGGCAGGTAAGGGTGAATCTCACACCTATTCATATGTAGTTTTGGAGTTTTCTCTTAACATCTCAGTTATAATGCATTGTTCACCACCACTGTTTTCTAACACAGAACCAGACTCATTTTAAATGGATATGACGTTCATATAAGTCTCTACGTGGGCTGCAACTGAGTTCAAGCAATGCCATTCCCTCTTTGTGCAACTTTCTGTTGCCTAAAATATGTTATTAAAAAGATCTCCCTCTTTCCATACATAATTTAAACAATTCTTTGCTGGATTGGGTGTGACTTTTTAAGTGTAATCAATAAACTGATACTACCATTTATTTTTAATAAAGTCACCAAAATTACTGTGTCTGCTCTGCAGGCTTATATTGCTTTTATTACATCAAATTATTTATTTCAAATAGCTAACAGTACACAAAAACTAGGTGTGTGTAACCCATTGTTAATGGTTTACATTAACATAACCTTATGCAGTCTTACAAAGATTTAGTTTATGTAAAAAAATGAGACAATTAATCAGTGTAAGTTTTGAATGTAACTAAAACACGATACACATATTTCACTGTAAAGCACGTACAGCAATTATCACCCAATATCCCTTCTCTATGCCTCCTGGACTGCACACACTCCTTCTTCCCCCCAGAAAATACAGCTCTTCAAATATAAGCATGCATAATGAGAATACAACAACAAAACAAGAAAAAAGGCCCCTGAACTCAGCTGGAGAATGAGGCTGCTGCCTCCTCAGCTACAAGATGGTGTTGATCAGCTTGGCTTTCTGCTAGACAGCTGCTCGCAGCCTCTGCTAAGCTGTGCCGTCAGTATGGGATGCAAAGAGAGGAGAACGGGGTGCTGGGATAGAGCCTGGAAAAGGGAATGTTGTAGCTCATGTTATGGTGTGGAGGGAACTGAAGAAGGAAAATGCAACCAAGCAATGCTTTGTGACTCACTGACACCATGTATTTTATTTGCCTTGTTCTTGGCCTGTACAAGTTTGATGATCTCTGTCCTTGGTCTTCTTCCACTAACTCCCACTGCTATGTGAGCTTTTGCATGTGTCAAATGACCCAGATGCTTCTCCTCCACTCACTGTCTTCCATTTTGACTGAGCAACTCCTGGCATTAACAGGCAAAAAAACCACATGAACAGGGTGTATTTTCAGTAACAAATTCTGCAGCTAATTGAAAACTAAAAATTAATTTAAATATTTTTAAACATTTAGTCAGTAGATGAGTGATTTGCTGTCTTCTACTTTTTAAAATTTTCATATGTAATCATATTTAGAATAATTGAAATTCTATGATGAATTACCAGAGTCTGTTACAGATTCTCTGCCTTTTAAGACCGAAGTAACAGAAAATTTGTTCACACTTGCCATATCACTGCCTGGAGAGATGCAGGAATACACAAAGAAAGCAAGCAGAACATAGCTGTAGCTGACTAGGCTCATTTAATCCAAATGTTTAATAACCAAATGTTCCTAACAATAAATAAGAAACAGCAATCTATTCTGTGTCAAAGGATATATTTGAACTCCCTGGGCAAGTCTGGCTTAAGCTTATGAGGTATGTGTTAGTGGAAAGGAAATACACAAATAAAAGATTAATATGTTCTGAACTACTTTACCAACAAATAGGAGGGGAGGATACAGGCATGAGTTACACAGTTCTGTACTTTGTTCTTGAAACAAGCAGAATAACTTCCCTCAAAGCACACAGTGTGAACTGCACAGGCTCTGACAAGAGCCCAGGCCTGGCCAGGTACCCAAATCAGCTCACTGTGCCCAGCTGGAGTCACGTCAGCTTAAGGCACAAAGCAGTGATAAGCACATATTTACCCAGCTACGAGGAAAAGTGCAGTAAATCTCTCTGTGTCATTTTCCACCATGTTCCTCAGTTACATAAACCCAACCCACATTTCTCTCTTACTATGTCACAGATATAATCCTCTCTCTAATAAAATAATAATAGCAAAAGATCTACATTTGAAAAAAACATGTTAAATAATTTGCAGGCATGATTAACAGTTCTGCTGTTCTGCTGAATGGTAAAAACAGTTCTGCTGAACGGTAAAAATCTGGTTATAGCAGCTAGGGTATGGTGGTTTTTAGGGGCAGGATAAAGTTTATTTGATTCTCTGTAACTGTGTGTCCTCAGCTGAACCTACCAGCCCTTTGCTGTGTGAGGATTATAACTCACGCAGTTGGATCAGCCTCTGTTTCTATTTTTAGTGCAGATCTTGCTCCTTATTTAGTCCTGATTGCATAGCCAGAACTGCATTCTCAGCAGCTCAGTGAAAAGCCTGCCTGTTCCATTTTATAACTTTTCCAGACAAAAAGATGGGAAGCCTGTAGCTTTCCAAACAATCTTATTTTAGGAGCTTGCAACACGATACAGTCCAAAAACCCAAGGGCCACATGAATCCCTGCTGAAATACTATAGACTTTCCTGAAGTTTTACACTGCAAGAATTTGGCTGCTTCTAAGTTAACTGGGATATTAAAAAAAAAAAAAACAAAACAAAAAAAAAAAAAAAAACCAAAACAAAAAAATATATCCCAAACCAAAACAAACAAAAAAACCCCAACCAAAATATCCCAACAAACCCAAATAACCAAAAGCAAACAAGCCCCCAAATTCCCCAAAAACCTTCTTTACCCTAAATACTTAAAATATATCTGTTGAAATACTAATAGACATCTGGATCAAATCTTCAAAAAGCATTTTATCCTCCTTAGATTCATAGTTTATAAATCCAATTCAGCAAGACAACTACTAGCCAAAAAAGAAATAAACAAGGAAAAATGGAAAATGTTGGTTTTAAAGAATCTCTTAGCAGGGATGACCACACAGAAAATTTTCTGCCACTCAATTAAAACCATAAGAACATTCCTGGTTTTGAACAAAGTTTCCCCACTACAGCAAGAAATTTCTGCAATTCTGTCAGCATCACCTAAAATGCTTCACCTTCACTTCTAGGATTTGCTTCTGGAATATCTCCTCACTCATTTATACTTCGTACGCTATAGTTCCATTCGTTGCACGCAAGTGCATAACTAAAACCAAAGATTGAGATTATCAAGACCACAGTGAGGCTATAAACACAGAAAATGCAAAAAATCCAAACTGACAATACATGTAAAATACATTTTTATCCACAGGAAATACAATGTCAATAATGGGTCTTATTTTCATGTGAGAAGACACTGCATCTTCCCATACACTGAAATTAGATATAACTCCAAACAGGTCCTTCATTCCTAACACAAGATACTTATAGCCTTGCATGCACAGACCTCTTGAATGTAATCCTGAATCCTTTCTCTCCAAACCTGCCATAAATTGCTAAGGAATCGTTGTGCTGGTCAGGCAGCAGTCACTGAATTCAGCCTGTTTTATTGTACATGTAAGGATATCCAGCACTCCTCCTGTAGTGGGGAGATTGACTGCAGACAGAAATCTCCCTCAGCTGCCCCTGTACTCATGCTGTTGACTAGTCCTTTCATGGCACACTGAGAACACAAAGGCAGATTTAGAAGAAAATTAACTGGTGGAGTAAAGAATTAAAATCAATGAAGAGAAGGAGGGACCAATATATTCTCATTGTAAATTTAATTACCCTTTAGTCAAAAAATGGACAAATTACAAAGCCAATACAAAACACAAGGGCCATAAAAATTATGCATTCAGCAGGTCTGCATTTGCATATTCTGTGTTCCCCAAATATCTTAATGATTCTGTGAAAATGGAGAATATTCCAAATACATGAAGTCAAGTTCCATATCTTGATTTAAATGATAGACTTGGAATGCCACAAGGAGTACTCTAGATCACTATCTGGAAGGCAGAGGGTTAGAAATGGAAAGAACTGCAAGTCATTAACTGAAAAGACCCAAGCACTTGAAAGCCTGTTCATTCTAGCAACTCTCAGAAATATTGCACCCTGAGTGGGGATTACTGAAATTTGGGCATTTGGGATGTGGAATGTCTTGGCTGAGCTTCTCAGCGCTACACATAAAGTTGAAAATCTGGCAAATTTGGACAAATATAATTTAAAAATACTGACACCAAGGCACCAATGTGCAAATTGAGGCGATGAAATCACAATTTTTGTGGCTTCAAATTAGGAACAAAAATTTTAGCATGACTATTCTGAGAAAAAAGTATTTAGGCACAGAGTTTTAGTCTCAAAAAGCCACTCAGATTTTTTTTCAGGATTATACTGAGAGACTGAACTGCACCTGAAATCCTTCAGAAACTAAAAACCTAACACAGCCAGAGACTAAGATAACTTCCTTTAAGCCCTTTTAAAGGGCTGTGCATGACAGAGGAGCCCAAGAAGCTGATACTGAGTTGCAAGCGTCCAGGACACAGTTTGAAAGTCTGTACACCTTTATATTCCAGGAGGGTGTGGAAAAGTTTTTCACAGGGAGACCTTCTATGGAATCATTACAAGATTTTCTCTAGCAAGCCTCTGGCATGGATTTTCTCATGAAACACCACAGCATAGTGCAAAAAGTATCAAATTACTCACAACTATTCTGGACATATTTTTTCATACAAAACGTGACTGCTGAATCCATTTGGAAGAAAATCTGATCTAAGTGTATATAGCTTTGTTTGTAATTCAACACTATAAAGAGTAGCCTAACAAATTATGAGTATTTTGCAACTGATGTAGTACCTATTTCTGTATTTTCAATTATGAGTGACCATTTCTCTGTTTCAAATTAGGAAATCTGCATAACATTAAAATAAATTACTCAAGTGCCATTTTAAAGCAAAATTAAGTAGGTCACTTTGAAGTCAGCTTTGATGGGTAGTTTTGTTGTTGGTTTTGGTTTTCTTTTTCAAATGAGAGCATGAGTCTGTTCCCTCAGCAGCACTTAATCACTGGTAACTTTTATGAAGAGCAAACAAAAGGCCTCTTCTATTTATCCATTATGTCCCTAAGAGGTGAGAACAGCTAGATGCAAATGAAAATCATTAAAGCATTCTGCACTACCATTAACTGTCTGAATATGTGTCTATGCAAATGCAGCACTTTACCCAGTGAAACTGCAGCCTCATGACCTTTTGCATTGAAAATCTATGCCTTATGACTCTCCAAACAGCTGAAATACTTTCTATGACGTGTGTTTGTGTGTTTGGTTTGGACAGGTACAGTAATGGAGTGCAAGCCATTTCACAGAAACATATTCAGTTTCAGATACCCCTTCACCCTGTCTGGGGAAGGGATAACATCAGAGATACCCAATTTGCAACAGTGCTACGGTACAAATAAGCCAAAATGTGATTGCCCACATCCAATCCTGCACGCATTTACACCCATAACTTCACTCAAATGCGTAGTTCCATTTAAGGCACAATGAACATATAATAATGCAAAACTGTGACTGGTTTGTAGGATTAGAGGCCTAATTAGATATTAAACCTACTGACTTAATTCTTTAGAATTTTGTCCTTTGTGCAGCCAACCCAAATGGTGTGCAGAACCTGGCTATTCCCACTCGGTGCCACGGTGCCCGCCTGACGAGATGGATGAACATATGGAACCTAGAGAGTTTAGTCCTCCAACAGCAATACCTGCTGACAGTAATGCCCCACAACTCCTGTCTTCTTAAAAGCTTGAACCAGAGACATAGTTACAGCGGCCTAGACAACAGATTACAGGACATTTATTGTTGTTCAGTCTGTCTCTCTCCTTGGCAAAATTTAGGTCAGTCTTCAGGCACAAATTTGCACCCGCTGCATAAGCTTTTCTAGAACTAAGTCTTTGGCAGAGGCTATCTCCCCCTCCTTTGGGACACAGACCTTAGTTGCATGCTTTCATGTAGCAGCAGAGTGGTTAGGACAGTGCATTATTCCACAGCAGCTGAAGAGGCCACAGCAGACTGGATTCTAGGCTTTCCATTTGAAGGACACCAAGCCAACCTCTCCTGTCTCAGTCCTGGCACACTCTGAGGAGAATGCTTCAATCAGCAGGTAGTTGCATGTGAAGCATCTCTTACCTCCAGTTTGGGATTTTGCCAATCACTGCTGATGACTGGAAGACTTAGAGGACAAAAAGAATAAGGAAATTTTAATTTCCTAGGCCTGCTGATGTTTTTTTCATTGGACAATAATTAGATACCTTACATACACAGTACTGAGTGCAGGGACAAAGGACCTTTAGGCAGGGGCCCTTATTACTTATTTATATGGATGCTATGAAAAGTTATCAATGCATTTCAAGGCCTGGCTGGATGGGTCTTTGAGCATGCTGGTCTAGTGGAAGGGGTCCCTGCCCTCGGCTGAGAGCTTGGAAGTAGATGATGTTTGCAGTCCCTTCCAAGCCAAACCATTCTGTGGTTCTATTTGAAGCACATGGAAAAGAAATCAATCAATGAAACTGAATAACCCTAAAGGTCTTTTTCTGAATTTGGCAAATTGGCACATTTTAAAAATCGGATTTAGTAAAATGGTCCCAAGGAACAAACCTGAATACCAGCCTGCTTGTCACCTGGCCAGCGTGCTGCGGGGGCAGTTTAGGACCACAAGAGCAAGAGCCATCCAAAGCAGCATTCCCACAGTGGTCAGGGACAGCCATGGAAGGCAGGGTGATGCAGTAGTTTCAGCAGCCCTTTTTCTCTTCTCACTATAGCTGCAATATATGGTAAGTAACATTAAAAAGGATCCAAAGGAGGAAATTGTGAATTCTACTCTAATGCTACAGTTCATACCAAATAATTTGGTATTTTTAAGCCTTGGAAGTAGCAGTGTTATAATTTTATAAATTATTAAATTAAAATAAGATTAAAAAGTTTTGGGTTCTTAGGAACGTATATATTATGCTAACAACAATACAGTATTTACTGAAAAGTTGTGCCTATAACAGGCTCATTCACCTCATCTTCTGTCAGAACACAAGAAATGAAGCTGTTTATGTTTCCAGGTAACACACTTTATGCCATTGACAATGACTGCTGTATATTCTCTTTATCTGAGTGAAAATTACTTCTAAACAGAACTAATAAATTTTAAAAATGCTAATACTTTCAAATTGTGATAAAAGATTAAAGCTACTCAGGATAAGCTAGAAAAACATAGATGCTGTAGATTCCTTTGTTTAAAATAAGTAATTTCTGAAGTACTTTAAAAAAAAAAAGCAATTCTGTGCCAGTAAGAAAAGGAAGAAATTAGGGAACTGACTAGTAACCTTGGCTGGAGCAAGAGAGGGGAAACTCAGATTAGTGGTATCGAAAGCTTGATTACAAAAAATAATGGCAGCTAAAACATGTGGCCTTTAAACATGGTTTTTTTTTCCTCCAACAGCAACTAAGAAAAGGTGGACATTTTACATAAGAAATCCAATTTCCTCTTCAAACAAATAGATTAAAAAAAAAAACTTAGAATGCTTTTGAAAGCTTATTCATTGCAGCACAAAAATAGTCTGATTGTTAATGTGTACCTAAAGAGCTACCCAGAATAGCCACCATAGCTGCTATCTTTAGATAATGATCAAGAAAAAAAAAAAAATCAGGGTGGGGAGAAAACGTATTGTTTAAAGACATACCCATTTTCCTCAAAGCACAGTTCCTTGGCACTGACAATTCTTGTTTCAAATGTCCAGCCCTAATGCCTTATTTCAGACTGTTGCTACAGCTTTGCAGACATGCCCACAACTACACTTGATTTACTGACTGATTATCTTCTGTTTCCTTTTAAAGGTAAAGAATGTGTCTAAAGCTGAGCTAGAGAATGTGATCACTTCTTAGAAGGTTCTCTTCCCTCTCTGAACAATGTGAGACTCTTTCAAACTTATTTTTACGGCATCATCACTTCCTATTTCCCTCTGTGCACTAGTAATTTCACTCACCTTTTTCTTTTGTTTGTTTTTGTTTTTTTCAAAAAACCACTGTCCTAATGCAAACACATCAGTTAATTATTAGAGATTAAAAATTAAACAGGTCAAAAGCCTCAGTCCTGTTCTCAGAAAAACAGGACAAAATACTGTCTCCACAAAATAGCTTACAAAGTAGCACAGGGAAAGGAAGGTGGAGGTGGAGTGTGTGAAGAGGCTGGAATATGGAATAGTACTTGACACTTCACAGATTTTGGGAGCAGTGTTGTTTCATCTTATTAGCCAAGTCATCAAATTCCTGCTTTTGGACAAAAACAAGTGTCACTGATTTTCTAAGTAAAACAGCTGCAAGATGATTCAAGCCACAGCAGGAAACATGCACCATATTATAACAGAATCCAGTCCCAGTCACTTAACTGCACACAGGGAGAACATGGCCCACTTCTGTACATGACTACATGTTTATAAACAGCACACAGGATTTTCCTCCCCCATATGCAGAAACAGAATCACAGTGTCTTGCCTTTCAATCTGTCCTAACCTCAGTTAGCACATGGCATTAGATTAGCAGATTTACTCTATAAACCCCATTTTGCATCTCCAGTGGTACCTCCCTCATGCTTTGAGACATAAAAAAATCAATACATTGGTATGAAATTAATTTTATTTACAAAATTCAAATTGTCGGGTAGATCTGTGTGCTGATGGGGTCTGCAGACTGTCATAGTAATAATAATAATACTCAATATCATCCCTTCAGTGTGAATACTAAGGAAAAAAGAACACTAGCAAAAAGCATTCAGTAAATGAACACTTTTGAAACTAGGCTTCAGTAGCTACAAAATTAGTTTTTTAAACATCTAGATAAGAGCCTTACCTCTGAAATTGCATTAAACTTAATTTCAGATGAAGAAAACCTGAAAATATTAGCCTTAAAGGACAGCAGAACACTAGGCAATATTTACCTTACAATAAAACAAACATCTCCACTTCCCCCAAAAGCCAGAACAAAATACAGGGTCCAAAGGAACTCTCTAGATAGTACATAACTCAATTTTTGGAACGCATATGGTACTCCAATGAAACCTCAAAAATCTCTTAGGATGTGCTGCACAGGTTACAATGCAGAATGGGAGGTCCAAAGGACTGTGTAAAAATTCTGTAGCTTAAAGTAAACAGTGACTATTACAGGGCTCAAGATAAAACTGGAATATAGGAAAAGAAGTAATTTATCTATACGTGTGGTGCCACAGGAACCATTGTGAGGCCTTGTTTTATTTGACAGCTTCATTAATCCCCAAGAGGCTACAACGTGGACAACTTTGAGGACACTGAGATACTTCAACATAAATCAGAGAAGCTAAAATGCAGCCAGAAAACTGTAAAATTAAATTGAATACAAGAAAAAGCAAGCTACTGCTATGGAAAAGACTGAGAGAAATATTCTGGAACAGATTCTGGAATATATTCAGTGGGATGGCAATACCCCAGAAGCATCATATTTGTAAAGGATCTAAGGATAACAAGCAAAATAGATTTGTAAGAGTACCAACAAAGAGACTAATTTAGATTTGGGATGCAGAGTATCCTGGAGCAGGAAGGTAATGGTTTGTCTAAACACGCCTGTAGGCAGACTGTGCAAGACTTCATTTGTGGACCAGAGAAGCAGAGCCAGCAGAGTCCTTCAAACCTCATGGTGGACCAAACATCAATACTCCCAAGTAATTAATTCTGCCCTACAAATGGAGGTCACACTGGACATAAAATATAAATGCTTCATCCACACTCTTTACAACCACGTCTGGAAATCACAAATGTGTTCTAGGCATATTACAAGAAAAATCTATGGAAATTGGATGGAATTCACATAAAAATAACAGAAATTCTTTGGGAGCTGGAAAGAATCAAAAGGAAATGTTACAAGCCTAAACAAGTGTGACTTTACTTAGCGAAAGCTAAGCAAGTAAAAAGTTAAAATGCTTTTTTCTTAACATTCAGTTTGATCAGGAAAATTATTTCAAAGGAACAAACCCCAGGAAGGAAAAATACTTATTTGAGGTGACAAAAGGTTATATATACATACTTATTTAGGAACTCAGAGAAAGCATATACTAAGTTCTAAACTAGAGGTAATTGTCCTAATAGAAAAAAATACAGCAGGCATCTGAAACCTCAGTATAATGTATACATTTGCATACGACAGAGACCAACAGAGATGGACAAAATATTTAATGGAGCTCTGCCATCTCTAAGCTAATCTTAAAACATTTTAAGTTTACTCTTATAGCAACACTCCTCTTTCCTTCTGAATAACAGATGGCTGTTTGTGATCTACATATTGCGCTGGGGCTTCTTTCACTTTGCCTGATGCATGAATGAGGAATGCCTCCCATAAGTCAGACTACATGGCAGAAAAAACAGAGCTTCTAAAATTAAATGGCTTTCACTCCTTACCATCCAGCCCCATTTCTGTGATTCATTCAAGAAACCCACTTCCCATTTTAAAACAACAAAAATTCAAATAATAACCACATACTTATGTGTATTTGACTACACAAGTTATAGAAGAATGATAGAGCTTTTGGCAGTTATAGTACTTGAAAATTTTCCATTATGACATCCTTCTAATTACTTATTATTTGAACCATTTGGGCTAACTGTCTTCACACCAGACATATTTCTCAATGGAGACTTTCAACTAAATGCTTCAGCTGTTCATCAGAACTAGAATATGAAAAATTACGTTTCACTTTCCTGTTTAAAAGCAATTCTTACAAGCATCTACCTGAGATGCATTGTGAAGAATAGAAATTCCAGAGTATGGAGGGATTGGCAGCTCTCTTGTAAAAATAAACCTATTACTTTGATTTAAAAAAAAAACAAACTATTCAAATGCTCAACCAATTTTCTTTGTATACTCCACTACTTGCTAGTAAATCTGTTGAACATACCATTTCTCAATAGTATTAATGCTCAAATGTTATATGTCATTACACACTGTTTTCTCTTTTGAGTCCATTCCCAACTTTAACAGTCATTAGTACAAAGCAACAGACAGAAGGTTTTTAAATAATGCTGGTTTTTAAATAACGCAATGCCAACAACTCTAGCAGTATTCCTCAATTACTGAAAACTTAATCAGCTCATCTTAATCAAATTTCATCTATGAAATTCTCACTGTCATATAAGTAATCTCTGAATGTCACTTACTTCTATACTGTTAACTGCTTCCCAACAATGTGTGTTCTTGTTATACTAAACTGAATTCCTTATGCAATCATATTATTTCACTCTTGACAATAGGTCATTTTCCAAGCATGGAAGGGAACCTCAATCACTTCTTGACATGTAGAATTCTGTCAGCAAACCTCATCTTTACAATTAAATGTTTACTGGCACTCTTCTTACATGAGGCATGTGCTGCTTCTCAATTAAGTACACTTTCTCAATTTTTTCAAAAAGTGGCATAGTTCTACATTGTTACACATGTAATTCTTTATTAATTTTTACATTTCGATTTATAAAATTTTCTTGAATACTTATGCATTTTCCTGTAGGCACATTCGGCGGCAGATTTTTCTGATACAGGGCAACGGCGAGACCTGAAAATATTAGGAAAAAAATCATTATTAAAAAAAAAAAAAACAAAAACAAAGAAAAGGATACTTTTCAATGAAAACTGTTTGAAACATAAGTTGCTAAATGCAAATACAACCCAGGAAAGAAAAATGCTCAGAGGTAGTTTGCGTTTTCATATAAAGATTATGTATGTGAGTTTGTACATACAACTAACTTACAGATAGGAACATATACATAAGGACATGACACATGTTGTAGGAGGGTTGCCTTTTACACTGCTGTCCAGATTTTCTAAAACAGAAAGCTGTACCATCTTCATGTTGTACAATGTGTTTTGTACAATGATGATGAGAACTCATTTTTCCTAATGGCTAAATTGTCAGCATTGATTAGAGGAACCCATTATTGAAATGTTCAGGGATCTACATGCAGTCCTTCTAGAATTTTGATAATCAGGTGCAGTCATGTGTAATAACCAGCAAATATCATATAACCTCTTCCATAATCTTGTCAATCTCCATATTAAAATTTACTGAAATGCTCTGCCCTGCTGCTTTCACTGAGAGAAGAAATCCATTCACCCATTGGATAGAAACCTTCTTTCATGGACAGTTCATTTCTAGTTTATGTCTAATCATTCTACATTGAGAGCGTTCTTTGTCTTAAATATTTTTTCTTCTTTCTTAACTCCAGAGTTCTAGATCTTATTTGATATGCAGTTCTCCTTCAAATTTAAAGTTATTACCAACTTTTATTTATATGCTAAGATTGCACTAAAGACATTAAATGGGCAGACTCCACCTGCAGCCAGCTTCCAATTTTATAGTCCTTCTCTCAAAACAATCCATAGAACTTCTCATCAGCAATTCTTTACATTATGCATCTTCCTTCTTTTCTCATATGACACTATACTGAATCTTTATATGAAGCACAGATTAAATGTGATTATGGTGGTGCTTGGATGACAGTTGGACTAGCTGATCTTGAAGGTCTCTTTCAGCCTTGATGATTTTGTGAAATGGACTTAATTTTGTCAAATAGTTATTTTATTAAAAAAATACACCTTTACCCCAACAAAAATCTAATGTTACTACACCAAAGATATATCTCTTTTTTTTTTTTTTACTTCTATGCCTTTGCATACCCTATATTATCATTTGTTTCCTATGTGCCATACAATGCCCATGGGCTCTCCTTCAAGCACATTTGTGACTTTCCAATCACGTGGCGCTGTTCTTGCCCTGACAGGTTTATTAAGAGTCTTTGCTAAAAGACTTTTTGATACTTCTAATATTTTCATAATTGAGACCTAGTTTCATTTTCCCATCAGGTTTCTAGCGACAAGACACTGATGGCATAATGCCATTGACTACACCTCAGAGCCTACTGCCTAGCCTGTAGCTAGTAACTGAGAATTAAAACAAACAAACAAACAAATACATCTAATTAATTAGGATCTTAAGCATTCTTTCTTTCTGTTACCCCTAGAAATTAATTCAGCAGCCTAAGAGCCACTTTGAGGCAGTTTGGTATGCACAGGTTGCTCAATTCCTTGCTGTTCACATACTGTCCTTAGATTTTTATCTGATAACATCCAGAGAGTAGTTATCTTTCAGCTGGTCTGATGCGCATGCATGGTATTGCTTAAAATTCTGGCATTAGTGGGCTTAACTACCTGGGGTATAGGCAAGGCTGGTCAGAAGCCCCATGTGAGGACTTCTTGCACTGAGTGTGTATGGAGCCTTAGAGTCTAACAAGACTATGGACTGTCACACATGGCAAAGCAAGGACACATTTGGCAGGCCAGAACTATACAGCACAGCCCTACGGATTTCAGTGTGAAGATTTAGATCTCTTCACTCACTCAGTCAGTGGAGCCACACTGGGAAATAACCTGCCTGTGTAATGCAGACAGTCTGACTGTCTAGGTGGGGATACCAACGGGATGGACCGTGTATAGCTCTTTATCCACGTGTCCAGGCTTTCTCCGTGCAGAAACTGTTTCTGTCATCTGCAGAAACAGCACCCAAGAATATGAGCCACACTCAGCTCTCATTCTGAAATAAGAGTTTGGATAAATCCCTTGAGTGAGAGAGCACTCCAAGATTCCAGATCACAGACCTCAGAAATACTGATCATCCTTGAAATCAATAGGAACTCAAACATGGCTGACTAAGTGGGTTTTGAAGTTAAGATGTACTGCTGGAAATTCTACCTTTGTGTCATAGTCTAAACTCTTATCACCACATTTTGTTGCACTCTGCTACTATAAATAGTAGCAAAATGTGGATTTTCTCTTGGCCTCCATCATGTATAGTCACTAGATGATTCTGTTTCTGCTACATTTGCATTTATAATTTTTTGTGAACTGCAGATATCATTTTGTGCCCAGTTTTTTTTTTTTTAAAGTAGCTACACAGTAAGCATTAAACAAAAACTGACATGCCTTTTGTTTAAAAACACAGGGCAAAGCTTTATTGATTTTACTCTATGAAGAAATTCTGACTTAAAAGACAGTAATCAGTTATGCTGATAAGTAATACTATTAATACTCAAATTTTGATTGTACAGCTGTTTAGCTGTGCATGATTAGGACCAGTTATATATTCAAGAGTGATTATTTTCATGCAAATACTTGGCTGGCTAATGGGGAGAACAGCTGCTGCTTAGCAACTGGAGGAACAGAGAAAGGGGGTGACTTGCTTTATAACAGAAAATGGCATGAAACCTTAAGAGAGAGAACATGTAGTATATTGTATACCAGAGAAAATGAGTGGTAGTGCTGCCTGACCAGGATATTTCCTTTTACAATTACTGACACCCTAGGACAGCAGCATTTTCAGGCAATGAAGTGTAAACTACAAGAAAATTTATATATCATACATGCATACACACATGAGTGAACAACACATAAAACAACTCCTAAAAACAAATACTGACACACAAATTGAAATGCAGGAAATCCAGAAACAGGCTTTGTGTCTACCATCTGTTGAAAGGGTTAAACTGATTTTCAGACTTCAGCAACTTAAAACTACCACAACCCAAGCTTTCTGGAAGAAGTGCTCTCTTTCTTCCTGCTGCTCAGTCTCAGTCCCTGCACTGCCTCCTCCTCTGTGCAAACACAGCCTTTCACACCCCTACATAATGAAGCAGATCAAGAACCTGATGGAGGTTAAAACTAATCCATATTTCTTAGTGGGATTGCTTTTACCTGGCTCAGTTTCCAAGTCAAGTTTCTTGTGCAGCTATTCAAATGCTTGCACTGACATGAGGAGGAGAGCAGGGGACCTCCTGTGACAGTGCTGACTCAGTCTTACCTTGGTGCAACCCTGCAGACAAACCTACTGAGTCGACTGCAAGACAAAACTGAAAGCAGAAGTGAGCTGCAGGAAACTACTGGAAACTGAAAAGGCAGCATTCAGAAAGCATGCAAGTTCCACAAAAGTGTCTGCACGGGCTTAATGTTGGGCTTAATGTACACGGGCTTAATGTGGATTACACTATGTACATCAAAAAGGAAAGCCATTTTTTTTTTTTTTTCTGAGAGTAACATTCAACACTTTCAGAAATCAAATTAATACCGCATATGAACAAGAAACTGGCTCTAGGTTAGTTATCAATTGATTTCAAAGTGTGGCTCTCCCTCATTTAATAAAAAACACTAAAACTGTTGTCATTTTAAGTAGAATACTCTGCATGACATGCTTTAGCAAATCCTGCTTTATGCTTCTAAGAAGTTAGTTATTTCAGCTTTCTACACAATTCTACTGTGGGCAACTGATTTCTCTTCAGCAGGACTCCCAGGTACGAACTTGTGCTACATCTCACACGCCACACTCATTTAGGAGAAACCAGAATCCACCAGTGGCTCAAATGTCTTGGTTTATTCACCAACCCAGCTGAGGGGCAGATACAACATCATGTTCTCCTGCCTGTGCAGATGACAACAGAATACAGCAGTGGACTGCTACTCCCCAGCACAGAGCAGGACTGCTGACCTACCTTCAGCTCATGCACCAGACCACATCTGCCAGTGTTCACAGACATTAAACTGTCAGTGAAATACACAGTGGTGGGAAGACACAATGCTCAGCAAGTTAAGACCATGTGAACAGAAAGAAAACAGAGTATGGAATGGAGTAACACAAGAACTGTTACTGTCCACACCAAAGTTGTCTGGAAAATTACGGAAATGGATTAGTGAGGGAGCAGTACAAAATGTATTCAAATCACAATAGCCAGGGATGCTGTTTGTTAATAAGCCCCACCAGTAAGCTCCTAGTGATTTATTAGCCTTTGTGAAATCTAAGTATTCATAAGAGTATTTTTTGCAGTTCCAATGGTTTTCCAAATATTAGCTTTGCAACTGTAAACAACTGTCAAAAATTAAAGTTGTGGCTCAGTTATTCTTTAGATACAATGAAAATAGTTTGGATTTCAACCCTATTTCAACCACTTCTGTGACACAAGATTTCTCGATGACTAGGTAGTTAGATTTTCTTTTTCTGTTCACATAAAAATGAGTTTAAGGAGGAAAACAGATGTGAGCTAGAGAAAATAAACAGCTTACAAAGAAAGAGTAGGAAACCAGTTACCCTTGAGTAGACAGGCAAGCTTCCTGTTCATTACAATGAAAAAATGAAGGGTAGCAACTGCCTGACCTGTCTTTTGTTCAAATCTAAACCCGAAACACATGTAACCGAAATGCGAAACATGTGTTCTACATACTGGACGTTTGTCAGGTTTTATAGATTCGTACATTTGTCTCGTATCACCCAGTCCTGCACGCACATGTGTCAGCATCACTCCGAGTGCGTGTGAGAGCATTTGGCCTTTTAACCGGCTCGTCTCCCACACCGCCAGCTCTCTGGGCATTTGCTATGTTTTGGGGGTTTTTTTACCCCCAGATCCGCAGCTCTCAGACAAAGAGACTGCAACAGGAACCTTAAACCTAAACTCAAGGTTTTCTCAGTGCCTCAACCTAAAGTCAAGCCTGTTTTATGGCTTTCGATAAAAACCTGCACGAGAGCGCTGCAAACCGCAAAGTAAGCTCTCCTAGAGGGCAGAGGAGGAGGAGCAGGGGCAGCAGGAGCGGGGGCAGCAGGAGCGGGGGCAGCAGGAGCAGGGGGACACGGCGGCCGCGGGGCCGAGCCGCCCTCAGGGACCCGGGGCCGCGACCCCGCCCCCTCCGCTCCGCCGCAGCGCGCCCGGCCC